TTTATTATCATTATATATTTAAACGTTTGGACATTTATCTCGTCAAGATAGTGTCCTTATTACTTGTTAAACTATTAAAATCTTTTCTTTGTCTTACTATTTGTAAATTCAGATCAATTGTCATTGTCACTAAATTTATTCTTATATTTTATAATTTATAAAATCCGATTATCAAGGATCAGTTATGTGTAACCAGGGTATTTTTTTGTATATAGCTAGATTAACTGTACATAATTGGTGGTGGGTATATAAGATAAATTTAGATGGTACATATTTGGCTAGGGATTAAAGTTTTGGTGAAAACTAAATATTTCAATTCAGACCTAGATCTTTTTCTATTTCAGCAACTAGCTTTACAAGATATCTTGGAAAGTTTATATAAATACTTTCCTGGCGCCCACTCACATTTTGGAGCAACTTCTATAATCATTTTTATTTATCTTATTTATATACCTGTAGATTTTTTTTACTAAATTGTTATTCATTTTCTAATTCTACGGTTTCTGTAGGGCATGCAAATTGGCCGAATTCTCCTTTGAGTGCAAGTAGTCACTCTCCGGCACCTTCTGCTAGCCAGCTTAAATTATATGTTATCCTTTCCATTATCCTACACGTTTTGTTACATTGGCGTGCAACAGCACAAAGCATTTTTGTTACAGTTTCTATGAGTTATGTATGTTATACTTGATCAAACGCTTTTTCGCAGTTGATACAACAGAGAATCACGTCTTTTCGATGATCTCGGCATTTTTGTAGTAATATCTGGAGGCCAAATAATACCTCCCTTGTACCAAGCCCCATACGAAATCCAAATTGATTGTCGCTCAGATTTCTTTCGCATTCTCTTTCGCATTAGATTCAGATCAAGAGACCAGCGTTTTTAAAACTCAAGGTCTGTGACAAAAATCTGAATACTGCGCTGAGACTGAGGTTTGTTGAATGTTACGTCTGGTTCCAACTATTGTACGGGGTAGAAACATGGACATTAAAGGTGCAAATAGTTAAGAAGCTTAAAGACTTTGAACTTTGGATATACCGGAGAATGATGAGAATTTCATGGACTGCCAGGGTCCCAATGAGGAAGTGCTGAGAAGGATGGGTCAAGACAAAAAATTGTTTAGAAAATAAAAGTACGCAAAACTGCATACCTTGGACATATACTAAGAAACGATAATTATAATCTTCTGTAGGTCATCATGCAGGGAATAGGTAGAAAGAGGAAGTCATGGCTTCGAAATATTCGAGACAAACATGACTGTAGACGAATTATTCCACGTTACAAAAGACAGAGAAACTTTTAGAAATGTGGTCGTCAACCTCCGTTAATGGAGACGGCATAGGAAGAAGAAGAAGAACGTATATTTCATCTGGACCTAAGGCTTTTCGTGGCTTTGCCGTATTGATTGTTTTTGTAACTTCCGATGTTAATATATTAAGTATTGTTTCTTGTACTATATTCATTTGTGGTTCTGTTCTCTCGACATCAAACAGATCTTTGATGCATTTTTCCCATATATTTCCTACATTTTCTGGGCTATATACTATTTGGTTGTTATCATCTACTAAAGTTGTTAGTGATTTTTGCCTTCATATTTGTGACTTCCTTAATATTTTTGTATGCATTAAAGTAGTCACGCTTTTTTAGTAAATCTCCCAGTTCCTCACAGTTGCTGCTCATCCATTCTTCTTTGGCTTTCCTGATTTTGTTTCGGATGATTCTCTGGGTTTCTCTATATTTTTCTTTATTGCGATTTTTGTAAGATCTTATGTCGATCAGTTTTAGGACTTCTTCTGTCATCCATGTATTCTTTGTTTTTCTAATGTTGTCTTCTAGTTGTTTTCTTTGTATGGTTGTGATTGTTGTTTTGAAGGTGTGCCAAATACTTTCTGTTGTTTTTCTGCTTCCGCGGGAGCTTCACTGAACTTTTCTTTGAGTGTATCATTGAGTGTTTTCTCTATTTCTGCCTGTACTATTGGATCTTTAAGTTTTTCGAGGCTAAGTTTTATCATCTCTCTGTATTTGATTTTCTTTAGTTTAATTGAAATTTTACCAACAACAGGATTGTGGTCGGAACCGATGTCCGCCCCGGGATATGTTTTAACATATCCCGTGTTATTCATATTTTAAATTCAGTAAGTTATGATTTATTGTGTCTTCGTTAAATCGCTATTTTTTATTTTCTGAGGTCTCATTTACTACTCTTTCATTACGATTTTTTATTTATTTTTTATCCTATCCAGTGCATCTTGCAGAATATTCTAAAAATCTTCTGTTCCACCTTTAGCTTTGTTTATGCCTGTAGCTTAACCCGTAACCGGTGAGGTGGAGTCTGAGAGACTCTTGCGAAATTAAAAACCGGTTTAAAATATTGAGGCGGACGACTCTTTCTAAAAATAGTTCATAAACCAAGCGTTTTTGTTTGATTAGTTTACGTTTAGCCGTTTGCGAGAACAGACGTTATTGGAGTCAGCGAGACTCAACGTCACCGTTAGTTACTTTTTATCGAGTATTTTATATTTCTTCGTATAAACTATAACGGATCATCTACCAAGTACGTCACGATCGGTTAGTGTTACAGATCCGAAATTTGAAGAGAAAGTGTTAAATTGGTTCAATGATTTGGACACTGAATATAGTGATATTGATGATATTGACAGTGATGCGGTAATAGAAAGCAGTCATGAGTCGGCATCTGAGCAGTCTGATAGTGAATCTGATCCAGAAGACAATATTCCAGAAACCAAGACTCGTCCAGTGATGATGAAAATAATATATTGGCGTCAAGATCTTCAAACTACTTTTATGGTAAAAACAGATTTAAATGGTCAGCTAGTGCACCAAAAAATATTCGTACTCATAATATTATTGTACATTTACCGGAGCTGCAAGGAAAGGCTCGGTCTCTTGGTCTTTCGGCACCTCCAAAGGAAATTTGGAACTGTTTATTTACAAATCAAATGTTAAATGTTGTAGTCGAATGGACAAATGTAAAATTGGCGAGTGTTAGGGTCAAATACAAAAATGAAAAGAGGCCGGAATTAAAAAATGTCGACCAGGTCGAAATGGAAGCATTTTTAGGCTTACAAATTTACACCTCAGTATTTAAGTCCAATGATGAAGACATAAAATGTCTATTTGCTACAGATAGAACGGGCAGAGAAATTTTTCGGTCCGTAATGAGTGCCAAGAGATTTGCAGTTTTATTGACTTGTTTACGTTTTGATGAACCTTCCACGAGAGAACAACGAAAAGCGGTAAATCCACTAGCACCAATTCAAGAACTATTTGAATCTTTTATTCAAAACTGTCAAACGGAGTTTTCTGTTGGTGAATATGTATGCATTGATGAAATGTTAGTTGGTTTCCGGGGTAGATCACGCTTTAGAATGTATATTCCAAACAAACCACGAAAATATGGACTTAAAATTATGATATTAACAGATGCAAGAAACAACTATGTGTACAATGCGTATGTATATACAGGCCAAGATTCCGACGGAATGGGCCTTTCAGTAACTGAGAAAAAGCTTGCTAAACCTACTCAATCTGTGTTACGGCTTTCTAAGCAATTATTTGGCAGTAATCGTAATGTGACGGCTGACAATTGGTTCACGTCTATAGAACTAGTTCAGTTGTTAAAATCTAATGGCCTAACATATGTGGGAACTATGAAAAAAGTTAAAAGACATATTCCTCCTGAGTTTCTTGCTCAAAGGCATAGAGAGATTGGTTCAGTTAGATACGGTTTTACAAAAGACATTACCCTTCTTTCGTATGTTCCTAAAAAAACAAAGCCGTCATACTATTATCCTCCATGTATCATAGTATAGCCATAGATGAAAAAACACAAAAACCAAAGATAATTAGTCTGTATAATATGACGAAAGGCGGCGTTGATGCTTTGGATGAAAAATGTACGGTTTACAGTTCGTCCAGAAGAACGCAACGTTGGCCAATGGCTATATTTTACAAAATACTAGATACGAGTACAGTTAACACTTTCGTTATGTATCAGTGTTATAGAGAATCCAAACCCTTGGACAGGAAAGATTTTATGAAGGTACTGGCTAAAAGCTTAATTGAAGCACACATGAAACAACGAATGTATAACAGCAGAATCCCGACAGAAATAAGAGAAAACATAAAGCGAATACTGTGCGTGGTTGAACCTCCTTCTATTCAAGAAGATCGGTTAGCAGTTCGAAAGTATTGCTACATTTGCCCATCAAAACTTCATAGGAAGGCATCTTATTTATGCGTCTGTTGTAAAAAACCAATTTGCTTGATTTGTTCTCATAAAATATGCAGAAACTGTAACGTTCAAAAAGAATAAAAAAAATAATCCCATGTTTTTGTCCTTACTTACCCCCTGCACGTTCCGTTACGTTTAGACTACTGATGATAATTTTTATTACCATAGATTATTCAATATTTGTTATACCTAATATTAAAACCATTTGTACATACCAAATTTAGAAATATTAAAAAAAAATTAAGTTTTCCGACGTAACACAGTACTTTATTTATTTGCAACTTTTGACAAAAATGTTAATAATAAGAATAGTCAGTAACAGAAAGAACTAAAAAGGCAATAGGATATTGCAAAAATGCCTAAAGAACAGATTATTATAAACAATGTGATAAAATAATTATTTAAATTTGAATGAGACCAGCATATTTATGATGAGTCCCGGAGACTCCACGTCACCGGTTATGTTCCTAAAATCGGACGTCACCGGTTACGGGTTAAACTGATAAAATACCGAGTCCACTGTTTCCATAGTGAAGTCTAATAATTCTTATTAAAAATTCTGTAATATATCATAGATTTTCTAAGATTGTTAATTTTGGTAAAAAGCATACAGTACCAAATCTTTTAGGACACTCTTTATATAAGAAGTATCAGTAATATTGATATCGGCACTTAATCTCCCGACCTAATAGAGAAAGTTCATATCCTATAAACATACAAAATGATAATTTTACGACGTATGCCTGCATTGATTCTCATTCAATTTATCTTCGTACATTCACCACAAAAGTGTATTGCAACTTACAACTAAGATTTTTGTTTTTATTTATAAAATAACCTGACTGGAAAGATCGCTTGGCAGTTCATGAAAATCGCGAAAGCTGAACGGTTAAATACCTAGTTTAATCGTGAGCAAGGTTGAACAGTATTGAATGCAGTGTTTCTGAGTATCTAATGTTTTTATTGAAAAAAACGTAGCTGAGATAGTGTTGGTATAATGATTGTTGTATCGATGCGACACGTAAGTATCTTATTTAAGTGCAATTAAACAATAATAAAAAATAAATAGTTTTTTTAATTTAAAGAACATTTCTTTTATCGAAGTAGGACTTATTTTTCAAATCTCGTATGTTACTAAATGTTTACCTGTAAAAATTTACCGTTTACATCGCGATTATAGACTCTGATCATGTTATCAAGTTCATTACTGATATTTTGTTTTGTTTATTATTAAGAATCCGACACCATGGTAGAGCTTGTAGTTTTTACATCCCGAATAGTAAAATGTTGTGTTTTCTCGTTGACCAACTTAGTTTTCTCGTCATTCCCAATATATCAACGTTTAAGTTTTCAATACTTTTTTTTTGGCCTTAGGTACAAGACCTATTTAGCCAGACAATATAGGTATAAGAATATAGAATACATAAAAACAATCCTTCAAATTCATAACAATTTCCTAACCGTTCGTTCATTCGCACCACATTCACTCAATTTCCTAACCTTCCCATTAAAAACGCTATTGTGTGACTATACAAAAAGGATTGAACAGGAACACACGCTTCACGCTAAGGTGCCCTTCATAGCGACTTTTTTGTAACACAAACAATACAGGCAACGGTTAAAGGTAAAAGACATAAAAGGAAAGACAATGGGAAATACAACAACTAACGTCCTACCATTTCGGATTCACACAACAACACTGAACAGGGCAGTTTAGATTTTCCGTTTGGTACGTTTGAAAAATTCCCATAAAATTGATGATCTTATAGTTGAATTTCGACTACCTAAATACATAATAGAAGCAACGTTCTGCGGCAAAATGATTTTTTCTTGAGAGATGGCTTGAAATAAAAATTTTATGGCTTCTTGATTATACCGACATTGAAACATCCAGTGGTTAAGATCGTCATAACTGCCATTACATTCACATATATCAGTTTCGGAAAGTTTTATTTTATATAAGTAAGCATTTACTCTAGCATGTCCAAAAAGGCATCTAACGTACATAGTATAAATTTTCCGAGAGATGGGACTTCTGTCACTTAGAGGAGTAGATGGAAGAGTTGGATATATACTGCAGTATGTATTTTTGCTACTGTTAGTAAAGGATTGCCACTCAATTTCCCAATTATGTCTAACATATTTCTTCCTAGCTGAAACTATATCCCATTTGGGCAACTCGTTGTACTCTATACCCACTAAAGTAGCGTCTTTAGCCAAATGGTCTACTTTTTCATTACCTATAATATTAGAGTGACCTTTAACCCACACAAAGTTAACAATTCTTTTTAAAGAAGTTAAGATTCTTAGCTTTTCAAGCGCATCTACAATTAGTCTGTTGGTATATATTCGTTTAGAAAAGTGTCTTAATGCGAGGAGGACGGACTGTGAGTCAGATAAAATTATATATCGTTCGAAATATAATGTGCTATTAATTATCCAATCCAACGCCTTGACAATGGCTACCAATTCAGCTGTGAATATTGAGCAATCTGATTTTAATTTGTACTGAAAATAATCTTGAGTATTGTCTATGTAAATGGCACAGCCAACACCAGCAGGCGATTTTGAACCATCGGTATAAATTTTACAAGAATGGATGGAGTCTTCCAGCTTGTTCTGTACTATTAAATCTTCGTGAACAATTGAAATATATGAAGGAATTACTACAGTAGATTTATATTCATATAGTAAGTCATAATTGGAGCCAAAGAATGGAATCCCTCCTCCATTAAATGAATACTGGGATAAATTAGGAAAAGCAACAGCTAGAGTTGGAGAGTTTTTATTTGCCCACCATTTGTTTGTTAAATTTTTTCAATACTTAGACGCTGTTTAATTTTGTCTATCAGTAGCTGCACACAGTCTAGTACATCAGTCATAAAAATAGTTTTCTGGATGGATTTTGTTTAGATTTCCATAAAATAATTTATTGTTTGTAGTTTTTTTTAACATTGACATATTTTCTTATTTAAAATGTTTATTTCATTATCATCAGTAGCTTGACAACCCTTTCTAGGTCTTGGCTTGTTCTAGGATTATCCGCCATATTGTTCTGTTCCTTGCTTTGTTTTCCAGTTGGTAATATTAGGTGTTTTCAGATCTTGTTCCACGTGTTCCATGTATCTAAGTTTGGTTCTTCTCTTTGACTGGTGTTTGCCTCATTATGTGTTTTAGTGTTTCAGTTTCCCAATCAAACAAGGCCCATCCAGCACAGACTTTCGATCTTTATGGATGTTATGACCTCGTGTTCATTGTATGCTGTGTATAGTTCAAAATTATATCTTCTTCGCCATATGTCATTTTCTTACACCCCCTTATATATGTGTCTAAGGATTTTTCGTTCAAACATAATAAGTCCAATATATGTTTTATTAGCGATATGTATTTTTCCTTTAACTTCTTCACTGACATTTTATCTGCGGTAAATAGTGAACCTAGATATGTAAAGTTTTTCACGCTTTTGATGTTATAGTTTCCTATTGTCAGATTCTGTAGGTTTCTTTGGCCTGTTGATTTGCTGGCCTTCATGTATTTGGTTTGTATTTCATTAATGTTCAGGCCACTGTTTCGTGCCGCTCTTTCTATCGCATTAAATGCTTCTATCATCTTTCTTTCGCTTCTAGCTAATCTAGCTAATCGTCTGCAAATGCCAATATTTGTACACTTTTTGTTATTATTATTCCTCTGGTGTTGACTTTTGACTTTTTAATTATTTTCTCTAATTTGATGTTGAATAGAATACAGCATAGGGCATCTCCCTGTCGTAGGCCCGTTCTCACATGGATTGTATCTGTTAGTGCGTTTGGAATTCGAATTTTTTTTGTACTTTGACGAAAAGTGTTTCTTTTCCTATATCAATAATGAGTTGAGTTGGAATATTAAACTCTTCCAGTGCATGGATCAGAAATTCTTGATGAATCCTATCATAGGCACTCTCAAAATCAATAAAAAGATTATGTGTGTCTATATTAAATTCACTAGTCTTTTTCAAGATTTGTTTCAAGACGATGATCTAATCTATTGTGGACTTCTGCCTGCAGAAACCACATTGCTATCCCCCAACTATTTGTTTCACATGTGGTCTCAATCGGTCATACACAATAAAATGTTTATTTATGTAGCACAAAGATAGTCCACAATTTCTGTAATAGTTTGATTTATTCTCTTTTTTACTAAAAAAAATACAATTAATTTAAACTTATATCTTAAACAAAAATAAAACATCATTTCACTAAGACTTACCATAAAAAAATATAAGAGATCTCAAAAAACATATTTAAATTAAGCCGGAATATTGTTGCAGTCATTGCAAATGGGATTTACATGTTCCAAACAAAGATACTTTTTACAAATGAAACAAAAATATTTCGTTTTTTGATTCTTTTTCCATCCACAGTCACCACACCTCCCAATTGCTTCCGGAGTTCTTTGAACTGCCACGACATCTTCATATAAACGACAGATCTGCTTTGGTCGAATATTTATTGTCTAGGGTATATAGACCAAGGTAAAAGTTGACAGCCAGTACACCTAAAATATCAAAATACAGAGAGGAGTCCGCCAGGGTTGCGTGCTATCCCCACTGCTTTTCAATGTCTACAGTGAAGCGGTATTTCAAAAAGCGCTCCCAGACTCAATAGAAGGTATATCTATCAATGGAGAAGTATTGAATAACTTACGTTTTGCAGACGATACAGTAATAATTACGGATAACAACAATGATTTACAGAACGTAATGCAACGCCTTAATGAACGCTGTCATGAGTACGGACTGAAGATAAATTTAAAGAAAACTAAATGCATGATCATGAATAAATCTGCACATGCAAATATCCAATTGACTATTGAAGATACTGCAATTGAGAGTGTTAATAACTATAAATACTTAGGAACATGGATAACATCAGATGTAGACCAAACCAAAGAAATTAAGACACGTATTGAAATAGCACGTACATCATTTATTAAACTTAAAAAGCTTTTTTTTGTTTTATATAATAATAGAACTACGCCTGAGAATGCTTCGATGTTACGTGTTCTCTACTTTTCTTTATGGTCTGGAAGCTTAGACACTAAAACAAGTTTATCTGAATAAGTTGGTCGCCTTTGAATTTTGGTGTTACAGAAGAATCCTACGAATATCATGGATTCAAAGAATGTCAAACATGGAAGTAACTAGAAGGATAGGAAATGAGGCGGAAATAATATTAACTATTAAAAGACGAAAACTTGAGTACTTGGGACATGTGAGAGGACAAAAATACGCATTATTACAACTTATTATGCAGGGCAAAATCCGAGGAAAGCGAAATGTGGGAAGATGAAGAATATCCTGGCTTAAGAACTTAAGGGAATGGTTTGAATGCAGTAGTGCAGAACTTTTTAGAGCGGCAGTCAACAGAGTCCGCATAGCCATGATGATTTCCAACCTTCGATAGAAGATGGAACTTAAAGAAGAAGAAGGGTATATAGACATTTTGACTTCGATTGTTTTGGTGGTTGTACATAAGGCTAAATGCTTAACTTGTCAGACTTCTTGTCAGGTCTTTGTGAAATTTGGAATGTAACAACTGTAAATAATAAAGGAATTTATTACCTATAAAACAACCTTAAAACACTTAAAAATATGAAAACGTAAAAAATGGGCGACATTCGTAAGATTTCGTATTTGTAATCGTGATAAATTGAGAGTTCTTTGGATTTTAAAATTCTCATGGCACCAAGTTCCACGAGTTCTAATAATAAGAGGCGCTATGTAAATCATTTTTCTTGGATACCTAGTTTGCGTGATCTTGCGTGTACTTCTATATACAGGCGTCTTGTTTCTGATGGTCATACTTGATGGATCCGGACCTTCCCAACTACCGATAACATCCGCGACAAGTACTCGATCACTATCTCTCTATCTGTGCTCTCTATCTGTCTAAATCCCCTCTGGTTCTGATGATAATCCAGCGTAACAATCCTTTTTCCTAGGATACGATGTAGTAATCTTATCAGAACTGAGGAAATCGTTAT